CAAAGTCTGTTTCACCCTCTGACAACTTTCTTTTTTATTTCAATAGTTCCACAAAAGTGTAGACAATGTATTGTTATTTCATAATCTCTATTGTCTTTAGTGAGAACTTTTAATGCACGAAGTAAAATAATTTGTATCAGGTTAGGTCTTGTCCAAGTTATTGATTATATAAATCCACATATTCATTTGTGCATTCCTTTTTTTTTTTTTCAAAACCGCAAGATCCCTTTAGCTGACACGGTCAATGGTGATGTGGCAACCAGCTGTTCAGTGTACAGAGTGCAGTGTGGTGTGAAAACAGTCCCCTCTATAGTGCTTTGCTCAGGAAGGGATGAGCACGCCAACAGGTCCTTGTGCAGGTAAAAGGCTCAGTGTCTGGGGCCAGCAGTTGTCGTAGTGACAGTCGTAACCTTTTTAACCAGATGGTTCAGTGGAAGCAAAGATTTTATGTTCTGTTTGTTCTGACCAATGCTTATCTGAAGCTGACCCCCCCACCCTTCACCCAACTATCTCCACCGGAGATTTACTTTCTCCTCAACAGTGTAAGAGGCTGATTCGCAAATTATATAGTTGTAGATGTTTGAAAAAAGTAAGAAATTGAAGTTGGATTCAGTTTGTAAAACTCAGCCAAGATACTGAGGAATGGATGAGAGCATTTCCTGGAAAAGCAATAAAATGATTACCATATTTACCAATGTTTTTTGATATATCACATTCCCTTTTAAGACAGTAGAATCACTGAGATGTATTTGTTCATCAAATGCAGTTGTCCCCTGTGTCCCGCAGCATCAAGCCTGAGGTCAAAAATGTTCTGCTCTAAGTAATCAGCTCCAGACCTCTCGGTCTTCATCCGATGAGAGCTGTGCTTTCATAGACTCAAAACACATTCCACTTTATTCTACTTTCCAAATTGTGGTACAGTGTTGTGTTACTTTGGGAAACGGGTCACACTGCTCTTCTCTCTTTTGTCTGGGAATCAAATTTACCCACACAATGCACACTGTTCCCCTTCTCTGGTTACACTTCCTTATTAGGGACACAAGATCTTTTTATTTCCAATAAAAGAATGGTGCTGCCTTTGTTTGTGTGAATGGGGACATTTTGAGAGGGTTACTGTGGGACAGGCGGTCAGCAGAGTTTAGTTTAACATATTTTTTACCTGAACTTTTTGGCATCAACGTCTGAGGTCACAGTGTTTGTCACAAAAGATTTCACTGTTTTACATCCTGAAAGTCTCTTGCCTTCTGATGGACCTTCAGCTTTGTTCCCTGGCCTGTGTTTTTTTTATTTTTTTATCACCAACAGGACGATACAAAGCACTGGGCCTTTCTATTTGTTTCTCAGGAGCAGAGGTCAGTTTGTTTCTAAAGGATCCCCATCATGCATGGGTGGTACTTTTAACCCAGGGGTGTTATTCACCCTCTATAATGTTATTGGTCCAGGCCGAGAGACGCCTCTTCTGTTTGACCAATGAGAGAGCAAGACTCCAATTTCCTAAAATCTGAGCTGGATCGGAGAAATCAAACAAACAGGCTGCTTTGATTACCGCAGGGAGTGAGGCTCCATTTGTGGTTTTGTTGGAGTCATGCTGTCCTCAACATCTGGTGTCAACAGGAGGAGTGTGTGTGTGTGTGTTTGTGTGTTCTTGTGCGTTGTGGTTTGTCCTCTGTTAGTCGCCACAGCTGCTCAAGATGTTTTTTCTGATATCTTATACTATTGGCCTGAAAGACAGTAAACAGATACCCTGATTTTGATAACATTTGACATTCAGTTCACTGCTGCTCTGCTGTCACCCCAACACTAAATGAGGTCAAAGGACTCTGTGTAATGTGTGTCTGTGTGTCAGACGCTTAATGCTATTTGCTCGTGTCAAAACTCACGTCAACAAGATTGTTGCAAATACACCAAATAGTTTTTACCACACTGCTTATTTCCCTTTGCCAATGTCTCCATGTTACTCCCTAATCAACCCAGTTCACCTTCTGAAATAGAGCTTGGATAAAAGTGCTTCAGTCAGTGAAGACTTGTAGTTCCCCTCGGAAGAAGAGTTAGAAAAGGAACAGTTGTCACAAACAGAGACTTCCTGAGTTTATATTGACACGTAGAAAATCTGACTTGAAGTCAATACATCTATTCATTCGAATTATAGCGTATTGCATTTTTTTAGTCACCAACTTTCCTTTAGTTGCAGGAAAATAACTGGTTTGAGTTCTAACAGCAGCCAATGAGTAAACCAATAACCCACTGTGTGCTCTGCAGCTGCTCGGTTCACAGCCTCTGGTGTTTATGTAAAAGCTACGTCTGTGTTTAAACCTGTGTGTAGGATGGGGTCAAGGTTGTTCTGCTGCGGGGTGGGGGGGCTCTCAGCCAACCCCATTCTTCTTGACCGTGTGAGTCAGGTCTGTTAACGGGATGTCACTGTAAAACTCAGAAAAGATAATGACATTATGCCAAATGGATAAATCCTCACACTGGTCACACTTTTTTTTTCTCCCATTCTTCACATGTATAATAATCTTTGTATGCTAACTTCATATGTTGCAGGGAATGAAGAAACCATTTGTTGAGGTCATCAAGGCCAATATCGGTGACGCACATGCAATGGGACAGCAGCCAATCACTTTCTTCCGACAGGTCTGCGTCTAAGTACAGCACCTCCCCTTTGACTTGTCACTAATTAAAACAATTTGATCTCTTCTGTCTCAAATAAGTTGGTCAATCAGTTTTCTTTGTGTTATGTAGATTTTCGCATAATGTCCTCATCATCTGTTATACTCACACGTCCCTTTGTGTCAAGGTCTTGGCTCTGTGCTCCTACCCTGAGCTGCTAAATGACAGCACATTCCCAGAGGATGCTAAAAGTAGAGCACGCCGCATTCTGCAATCCTGTGGAGGGAACAGTATGGGTGCGTATATATATATATATACATATATATATGTGTGTTGGTATTTTTTGCTCCGACACAACCCTGGCTGCTTATGAACACTTAAGGCTCTTTGTTGAATTATGTTTCCATGATGGTGTTCTGTTGTGTGAAAGCTTTAACACTTCCATATTCTCCATATGAATCTCCTTCAGGCTCCTACAGTGCCAGTCAGGGCATCGACTCTGTGCGCCAGGATGTGGCGCGCTACATCGAGCGAAGGGACGGCGGCGTGCCCTGCGACCCAGACGACATTTACCTCACCACAGGGGCCAGCGACGGCATAGTGGTACAAATAATTTGTAACTTTTTGACATTGTCACCTCTGTACTTTTTATCATCTATTCTAACACTGACGCCAACAAAGCTGTCATCTCAGTATCTATGATTTAAGTGAGTTCAGTATAATAAGATGCAGAAATGTTTTGGCTTGTGGCCCTGTGTGTGTTTGTGTCCTTGAAAAAGAGAAGTCTAATGAAAGCTTCATAATTAAAATGCAGAAGCATCCAGTGTATGAATTTCCTTTTGCAATCTTTGATTGAAATTACTCTACATAGAAGTTGGCATGCAGTCAAGCATACTGTGTATCTACTTGAAAAATACAGAGATATGTAACAGAGCTTACTTGCACTCAGTGCCCACTTTTTTAGGTACACCTAACTCAAAGTAATGCAGTTTTAGAGGATGTAGTTTGTGCAGCATTGTACTAACTGATGTCCACATGACCTTTTATCCATGAGGGTAGACTAGATAACATAAACACGTCTCTTTATGTCTGATGCCCTTCTTCTATCTTAACTTCCTTCACAGACCATGCTGAAGCTGCTGGTGTGCGGTGAAGGTGCGGCCCGTACAGGCGTCATGATCTCCATACCTCAGTATCCCCTGTATTCTGCTGCATTGGCCGAACTTGGTGCTGTGCAGATCAACTACTACCTTAACGAGGAAAACTGCTGGAGCATGGACATCAGCGAGCTGCATCGTGCCCTGGACGATGCTCGGGAATATTGCAACCCAAGAGCCCTGTGCATCATCAACCCTGGAAACCCCACCGGTAGACTTCTCTTCATTCTTTTTGGTCAAGATTTACATTATTAGTATGTTTGACTCCAAGTTAAATAATAATAATATGTACATCGTCATGTTTCCCATTGAGTAATAGCTTTAAAACCACAAATATCATGTGCTCCTCAGAGGAGCCACTAGATGGCAGCAAATGGATATAACTGCTGTAAATCACCATTTCTTCAAAATGAGCCTCCTTCTGTTTCACAGGTCAGGTTCAGAGCAGGCAGTGCATCGAGGACGTAATCCGATTTGCAGCAAAGGAACGTCTTTTCCTTATGGCTGACGAGGTACTGCATCTCTTATAACATCTACCTGCTTTATTGTCCATTTCATTATGTAATATGTCTCATTCTGTCCCCGTCTCCCAGGTGTACCAGGACAATGTGTACGCCGATGGTTGCCAGTTCCACTCTTTTAAGAAGGTTCTCTTTGAGATGGGACCTGAGTACTCAAATACAGTGGAACTGGTATCTTTCCACTCCACGTCAAAGTGCTACATGGGAGAGTAAGTCATCTCACAACGTTGTCGTCACACAGTCTCTCTCTGTCTCTTTTTCTTTCTCCTTTGTATTAGCGGTGACACTACGTCTCATTGTAATTGTTCCGCTTGCCTCTTAGGTGTGGCTTCCGCGGAGGCTACATGGAGATCATCAACATGGACGAAGAGGTGAAGGCCCAGCTGACGAAGCTGGTGTCGGTCCGTCTGTGTCCTCCTGTTCCCGGTCAGGCTCTAATGGACCTGGTGGTCAACCCTCCGCAGCCCGGGGAGCCGTCATATGACAGCTTCATCAAGGTTCACAGTTTTTATCCTATCATTATTCACTCTGCGGGTGGAACAGATAATCAATTCACCAATACTGTACATAATCTGATGTCATACATTATCGGTACACTGGCACTAGTCAGATTACACATTCTTTTTGCAGTTCCCTATCAGTATGCTGCGTTCTTTGTTTAATTAATTGCATTCATCTGATCTGTCTAGAAAGCAGAACATTATTAGAAAAGGCCTGAGACACTGTCAGTCAATAGAACAAGGCAGGGGACAACTTGATGATGCTGACAAATAACAGTTTCCTGCTTAAGGACTCAAAGAAACCATTTTGTGTGGTTAAGATTTTCTCCAGAGGGTTACAGCGACAGAAGATGATCGAGTGCAGTCTGTCTCAGGCATCGCAGATGTAGTTGCCTGTGTTTTGTGATTTCTCTCTTTGGTTTTTATTAATATATTTTTCTCTCCATTCTCTCTCTCTCTGTCCCACTTCCAGGAGCGCACAGCCACTTTAAGCAGTTTAGCAGAGAAGGCCACACTCACAGAGCAGGTTCTCAACACTGTACAAGGCATCAGCTGCAATCCTGTGCAGGGTGCGATGTACTCCTTCCCCAGCATAACCATCCCTGAGAAAGCCATTAAAGAGGCCATGGTCAGTCCTTAACATTCATATTCTAAAATGCTTCCATAGTTTTGTGCTTCAAGGAAATCACATTGATCAGGAATGAAGTAGACAATTCAATTATAAAAGATGTATTTTCTCCCACTCCCACTGAAGCACTGCTTGTTATTTGGTGCACTTATAATTGTTCTGCTTACTACTTCTCTTCATGGTCAGCCCTCACTCCACCATTACTCATATTTACTACAAACAACCAAAATCATGGCTGGAGTGAAGTAACATTGGGGAAAGAGTGCAGAAAGATACAAGACCAACATCTCATACTTTACACTGTGCTGAATTAAATAATGTTTAACCAGGTACACAGTGCATCCACTGCCCTGTTCGTGAAAGGGAACAAATGATTTCCGATGGCTTGTGGTTTCAATTCTGTTCCGTGGTTGACTGCTCCGTAGGAATTTCAGTGAGGACGAATTAGGCAAACCACAGAGGATCTGATTAGCCCTACAGAGTATAAGGTCAGAGTGGAGCTGACCTACCGACACTTGATCAATTCCACTGACTCAACACCACTGGCAGAGCTGCCGTGCATTTAATACAGCATATTCTCAATCGCTTAAAGAATTTTTTAAAAGCTCTTGATCCAAAAGAAATGAGATATACTTAAGATTTGTATTATCCTCTATTACAACCCATCTCTTTTTGTGTGTTTTCTGTTTAAATCAATCTTAAGTTACCTTGTTACCGCTGAAAACGTGTCCTTACTCAAAGCCGAAGGGCACTTGTGTTTAAAAAAAGAAAAACTCAAATATCGACATAGCCAGCAAAATTGTCCACATGAAGCTGTGGTACACAGTTAATAAAACATTCAAAAGAATGAATTACATCCAGAGCTTGTGATGGTAGTGAAATGTAGGACTGTATAATTAAAGGAGTGGGCTGTTGGATACAAAGAGACAATCAGTTGAGCTGTTTCTGCTTTCATTTTGTCCACTTCTACTTTAAATTGATTCGATCTTCTGCAAATTGAAAATCCTTTGAACCAATTTTAAGTCATGAAGGAAAAACAGAATGCGGTGAACACAGTTCTTGAATGCCATACTGGCAACCACAGAACCACCATTGATGAAAAGTTCCGATGTTATTAGTTAAAGTAGCAGCATATTAAGGGTCAAATGGCTCAATCATGTTCCTTTCTCTCGCTGTTAGGACCTTGGTCAGCAGCCAGATATGTTTTACTGCATGAAGATGCTGGAGGAGACTGGGATCTGCCTCGTACCTGGAAGCGGCTTTGGCCAGAAGGATGGAACCTACCACTTCAGGTAGAGAACACTTATAAAACATTGTTCTGCCGATTCTCTTCTTGATTAAACTATTAAATTATTGCCCCTACGTAGTCCCTGAGTAGAGATTTACATCTTCAAATCCCAGTCCAATTAACAGACCCCAAAAACCCATACTCAGTTATTCAGCAGAATATTTAACTTTTCTTTTATCTTTCTTTCTCTCCACTCTCCTGCCCAGAATGACCATCTTGCCACCGAAAGACAAGCTGCAGATCCTGCTAAGAAAAGTCAAGGAGTTCCACCAGAAATTCACCAACCAGTATTCTTAAATCTCCGCAGATTTTTCTTCTGACCACAAAGGGAAGGAGGTCACCAACCTCAACAAAGAACTCAACCAATCACAATTTATCTGTCACTGATAAGTGCCTTCTCTGCGGCGGCTCTGGTAGTCTCTGTGATGACGCACTTCGGCCTCTACAGCTCTTTCATTTGGATGTTGTTACACAAGGCACTGTTTTCTGACAGAAAACAATACAAAACCAGAGATGAAGGGATGGATCCAGAGACTTGTGTCAAATTAGTGCGAAAAAACAGCTTTATCTAGCGTCGTTCCAGCTGTGAAAGATGTATTTACTGTAGATCTGTGTATTTGTGAGTTGAGATAGATTGTCTATGTCGATGCCAAGCTTAAAAAAGAAGAAGGTACAATTGAAGAAAATGTGATGCTGCTTTAAACCTTGATTACATGTACAACTGGATACAATATTGCATTCCTGCAGGCTGTACTTGTCAGGAACAATATAAAGAAAAGTCTCATTGCATGATTATTCAAAAATGATTTTGTAGAATCAAAATAAATGTAACAGTCTAAGGTTTGTCTCGTTATTTTGAAAATAGCTTTCAGACGACTTTAAAATTTAGAATAACACAAATGTGACAGATCCTTCGACCGTGAAAACTTTATTTCACAAATGCAGTCTTCAATTCATCATACTTTCTTTACGAAAGGGACAGGTTATTATTATAACGGTTTGATATTTGACAAGAGACCAACATATAATTGTTACTGAGAAATTACAGTTTTCTTTTTCGATTGAAAAATGACAGAATTGTTGAGTTCAAAACCCTCCAGTCGTATTTATCCTCTATGACTAGTAGCTCATGTGAAATGAGTCTTACATGTGCTACTGTTTCTAAACATTTTCTCCTGTCACACATAAATATGGAAGTGTTTTTATAAAAACCTTTGCTACTCAACATACAAGAGATACTAATGAATTGTTTATGGCCACTAGGGGCAGCAGAACAAGCTCAGAACTAAGCACCGACACATCCCAGTACGTGGTGAGCATGTTTCTGTTTTCATTTCTTTTTTGTTTCTGATAGATTTGTGAATCTATAGTTGCTAAATGTTCCTTTGGGTTCACCAGTGTTTTTTTTCCAGACTGAAACCGAAACAATGAGTTATAAGACAACTCGGTGCTGGGCGATAATTCTCATTGACTTCACTATACGCTATGTCGTGAAATTAAATTAAATATTACAATATGATCTAAGGCTGGCGAGGAATGATTATCTTTAAATAATTCATACATCATATATTTTTGTTTTGAGTCATTACAAAAGTTTTGGGTGTTGCAGTGTCGGCTGAAACATTTATTCTGCCATTAATTACCAAAGATATTGTTTGGAATTTTGAAATTGAAATCAGAAATATCTTTTTGGGATAAACCTTAATTCTCAGATGCCACCAGCTTCTTGGTGCAATTAGAGATGAATGTAAACCGGAACGATTCATTGACGCATTGTAAATCAATATGCTCATGTGATCTATATAAATGATTATGTTGATGTGTTGTTCCAGCCATAATTTCATCCACTGGTGATGCAAAAATATTGAGTTTTGCAGTAAAATCAATGTGCCATTTTTCTGTTATTATTATTCGTGGCCACAGGGGTCACTGTTCAGCAAGTTAAAACGTTCACTTTAATCAAGCAAATTCGGACTAGTGTCACGAGAGTGTGGTAATTTAGGGTAGTTATGTGTTACGGGTGCTAAACGGATTATTAGCAAAATGATGCAGACAACTTCCACTTAAGTGATAAAGACTGAGGTCGCTCCTCAGGCGTCACAGCTCTGCACGAGGGTGAGACGTGAGCTGTCGGCTTTAACCGTCACTTCGAATAATGATATTGTTCAGCTTAATTCCAGGCCAAATGACTGGATGTGTAGATACGACGGCTGTCTTATTGTATCTATTAATCTGTCATCTATTTTATTGCCCTGCATGCAGTTTCCGAGTGAGCCGGGATGATGAATGGTACTGCAGGTTGTGTGTGTGTGTATGGGGTGGGGGGGGGGGCATAGGGACTGAAAGACTATGTAGAGAGTGTGTTAAAGTGAAGCTTGTAGTTTGAAGGGGTTTTCTGCTCTTCCTCTCCACTCCACAGTGGCTGTCAGCTTTAATTATCTTTGACAAAGGGGCCTCCTGAATCCTAATTACACTGAGCTTTGTCTTTCCTGGAACCCCTCACCATTCACTCCAGCAGCATGACGTGCTCACACGTTCCAGTCCTCTGCACCCTAATTTAATTGGGTGCGTTTGCATTTTTTTCCCTCATCTCCTGACATCTTTTGGGAATCAAAGGTCATCATTAGTTTGGGCGAGGATGTAGGGCGTCAGAGAGACAGTCATGCGTCACACATCAGCGCTGTCGTGTGGCTCTCCTGGTTGTGACAATGACCAGTCTTCATTTCGCTGTGTACAGTCTCATATCAGGAGATCGGTATGATGGACTGGGGCATGTTATGGAGACTGGCAGTTGTGAACTGACAATCATATTGTGTTTGATATTCTGTGTGTGTGCTCGGTTTAGCTGCTTCAAGTCTTGTAACTTTAGCCTGGAAATGAAGGGTGATTCCACAAATGTCACACCGGAGGTATTTGAAATACCGACTCTTACATAGTTCTTTTCACTAAACCATGTCAAAAGGTATTTAGCATTAAAACTGATACCCGAATCAACACAATCAAGTGATCAACACAAACACAAGTTAATTACAATCAGGATCGATTGTCACTCACTACAATTGATTCAGAGTTGCTTTCTAGCCACCTGATGAATGTAAATCCAAGATCAGCTTATATCTCCTTTTAGCTCCACTTTTGGTCTCCACCAACAGCTGAGGGGAATAACTGGCTCTTTGTGGGCTAAAGGCTTAGCATTGTTCACTAGCGAGTTGCCACCTTTGTTATTTTGTTTTGGACATGTTGTTTACTGTCAGTTTTTAAGTGCCTGCCATTTCGGCAAATCAAAATTCATTTCAACCACCCTGTTTATTTATGAAGTCTGTCGGCTTTAAAAATGTCTTTCCACTGTTTACTGGCCAAAGTTGTCATCACATTTTAACATAGACTAAGATACAGACCCTCACATCCACACATTCACAATTCAGAGTCTTGAATCAATCTCTGGTGGAAGCCGAACTAGAGAAAACCCCAACAGACACAGGGAAATCATGTAAAGTGGGCTCGAACACAGAATTCTTCCCGTGAGGCAACAATCATTTTTCAAAGGTCTAATATACTAAACCACCCGGATCTATTTCTGTCCCGTGTGTTATCATCATGCTGCATTTAAAACGTGCCATATACAGAACTGATGCATTGAGTCAGACGAATCCTCAGAATCTCCAATCAGCCACCGTATTGTTTTCCTGAAGGTATGAGAGGCTCCTGCTTAACATTGTGCTGAACTCTGTTGTAATCACTGTGTTGAACACATTGATTTGCATGGAGTTGTGTAATTGTGAATCTGAGTTTGGTTGCCTCTGAATGTGAGCCTGATTTTTAAAGTAAAGTTATTTTTTTGTCAGAAACACAAAAATAAAATGAAAAACAACAACAACTTTAGTTAAATTGAAACCAGACCATCGGTAGAACTGTCAACTTCTTCAGAGGAATAAAAGAGACTAATAAACCGAACCCACCTACAGAATATTTAAGCAATAGGAACATACCCTACTCTAATTCACATTTTTAAGCCTTTCTTGGATAGAAATATTGATGCCACTCTCATGTCGTTCCGATAATAAGATAAGATTTTAATGTAGAATTGTTAAATGTTGTATCTTTAATACAGACATTGGTTTCTCCTTTGTCTGTCACATATAAGCACAAAGGCTGACAGCTGGGCGAGCTACCCTGGCTTTGACTAAAGGTAAGAAAATCATTTACGTTGTTATATCTTGTAGAAATTAAATAAGTAAATCTACAAAAGTGTCAAACTTTAACATTAATACGATTAAACAACACAACTGATCTTTTTCATAGAGACAGAATCAGTAAAAAATAAAACGTGGGCACATTGTATACGTATTGTCTCTTTGCTATATTTAATCATTAGTCCTATCTATTTAGTGCTTATAGAGGAATACTATACAACTAAAAAAACTTGAACATATAACATAGCTTTATTGTGTGTGGTAAGTTTATTGTCAGGCACTTTGCTATTTTAGTAAACGATAATCTTTCAGTGGGGTCGTACCATTTTTCCTGCAGCGCATATCCTTTAAAAATGTAGTTTCAGGTTACTGTAACCTTGTTATTTCCTTATTTGTATTACCACTACAACTTGCAACAAAGAGTCGTTCACATTTAAAGATGACACACTCAAGTTAGTAAATGGAGAAGGGCAGATTTTTAAAAAAAGTACAAGAAGAGAAAACAGTGAGAAGGGGGGGTGATGATACAGAGATTGGGTGATAAATCTTGTTCTGATCAGGTTTCTCTGGTGCCCTCACACCTCAGTCTCTTTCTTGGGGTAATTAATCAATCCCAGACTGGAGGCATTGATCGGCCTCTTGTGGCCCTCTGTATGTTTACACTCCTCGATTGTATTTGCCACTAAGCCCCTCGCTGCCGCTCAATCTCATCGGCAGAAAATGTGACACTCCGCCCTCTGATGCCATCAGCGAAAGAGTGCATCGATTGACATCTCGATGAAAATCAATCTACTTATTATTTTTTTTCTGTTGTTGTTGTTGCACGGGGGATTTGGTTTTGTTATAATCCTTTGTTGTAATCCTGCATTCCAGTTTTATTGTAAGCAATCAAAACGCTCCCGGAATGAAGGGCCGGGAATTTCCCCCCGGAGATAGTCACACACAGGCCTACGGCTAAATGTCCACCAGGCTTTACTGAAATGCACATTTCCTATTTTCATTTATACATATGATACATATCTTTTTATTTATATTGCATTTTATTTACACCCCTTTAATGCATTTAGTTTTTCAGCCACTGAAATCCCCAGATCCCTCCCTCACCCAGCAGTGGTAGGGTGATACCCTTCACAAGATAAACAAGTGCTGCGACCATGAAAGTGAATGTGCAAACTCCTTTATATTTATACTTGAGTACAGTTACATAGCTCTTATCAGCAAACTAAATCAAAGGTAAATTAATCATTGAGCTGAATTTACCCTTTACAGTGTGTTATGTTATTCTTATTTCTGATTAATACATTTAAAACAGAAAGAGAAAAAACTGTTACATGTTTTATTAAATGATATATCATTTGTATGTAGAACTATTCTATCAGAACTATCATTGTTAAATAAATGGAGTGGAGTGGAAAGTGGAATAATGGAAATAATCAAGTATCTCTACTCATAGTTGTCTTTGAATGCAGCATGTGAGTAAGTGGACTCAGTTTTCAGCCGCATTTACTTGTTCACACAGTAAATGCATTTCTCAAAACCCTCCACACAAACAGCACCACACAGTGGATTACATGCATAACTTGTTAAAAAACCTTAGTTGGTCTCTCAAAGGTAAATTATAATTTATGCCACAGTAACAGTAAACA